AACACAGTCATATCACGAGAACCCTACCAATACATCGGACCACTCAGTGCAATTACCAAATTCCGTCCCGCAAACAGTGGTCCAAAGAACCAGAGCTTCTCTGTCAAAAAACTAATGGCAGCCGGATGAAATTTTATCTGAGTAGAACGTGTGAATGCTTGATAAGATATGCGAGATTATACCTAACAAGAAGAACACTATGGTCACTGGTAGAAACCGGGGCCATTAGTTTGTGAGAGAATAATTCGGGATGGTTTGTGATCACACTGTCCAGCACAGAACCACCCCTGGTAAGAAAATGCGAAAGGTCAGACAGCCCAAACGGAAGCAGGACAGAAATGAGTGCATGATTTAAATCACCAAGTGAACATTTGCATTTGTTAATTAAACTGGAAACGGAATATAGAAATCAAAAATCGCAGAAATTTCGGTTCGAGTACACGAGGAAGATATATATACACATTGGTGATGATTGTACTTTTGTGACGAGAAAGTTTAAGGTAACAACGAACAGGTAAACAGTAGATGCACTTTCCAGAATAGTTGTATATGACTTCTGACTTGCCAAACCACCAAACACTGATGAAAGTAGCCACACCGTCTCCGGTATTTTTCCCTACGCCGCTGTCTATCCTGCCGAGTAGCAAGCAAACCCCTCTATTCGCACGAGCACGTCCTCAATGTTTTTATTCAACCAGGTATTTTGTACACACGCAACACCTGTGTTGGAATTCATGCTTGTATTCAGAATGGAGGTTAAATCCGAGATGTTCGCGAATAGCGAGCGAACGCTAGTGGTACAGTTATCTTCGTAGAAGGGGTGTAGGTAAGTGCAGTCTGCCATCATTTTTTGATTCAAGGACTTTTATGACTCTGATCGAGCAAAAACATTAACTGATAGCATAGAATCCACAGTTTGTGGTCGTAGCATGTCTTGACGAGAATAATTATAGAACCTGGACATGATTAGCACCGATATGTGGACGAGTCGAACAATAAATTCCAACGTGACGAACAAGCACGAGAGTGTTACACAACCAGTCGAAAGACGCACGACATTAACTGTTACAGTAAACGTTCCTCTACACACATCTCTTGGTCCACGACTTCGAGTGATAACAATTGATTAGATCAATGACTGTCATTTCGTAGGCATTTTATTTTGTCCTTTTCTAGCACCGTCAAATCGATGGTCCAATCGATAAAGGTCGCGTATTCGACATCTTTTTTTCGCATTTAATCGAGATCAAAACGTGAGTAAAGCTGCCAGAGATATTTGTGCCGTGTACGGAGAGGACGCTATAGCTGAGAGAACTACTCGTGATTGTTTTGCCTGGGTCCCGCACAAACTCACACAAAAGCAGAAGGATAAGCGGCTCACCATCTCTGTTCAGTGTCTCGCTCGACACCAAGGAACCCATAGCCACAGTCAACGTTTCCTATACGTAATCCTCACTGGAGAAGAAATATGGTGTCTCTATACGAACATGAAGTGAACAAAGGGTGGGCAGGCGGAAGAACGTGCAACAATCCAGTATACTGTAAGTATTTTACACATATTACATTAGTAATCATTATTGTTAGTATTATTATTATTATCATTATAGACAATATGATCCCATCTAGCGCATTACGCAACCCTTGAAACATGGATCAGCATTTGAATTGTGCAGTGTTTACAGTACTGTTAGCTAAATGAAACAACCGCCTAGTTGAAAATAACATGGAAGTTGCACATGATTGTTTGATTCAGCGAAAAAAATAATTTACTTCGGGCACAAGTAGCGTGGTTGCGAACAGTATTGAAGCTTCTTTTGAAAGTTTTTTTAATTTATACTGAAAATTCGTGCATCCAACCCCGCGATCTGTGGGATATTAAAATAACCATTTATTCCCAGAATGGCCATTTAATCTTTCAATCTATCAAAAAGAATAACCAAATAAGTGTAAAATATTTGCTATTGGTAATCGTTCGGTCACCCTATCCCCCATTGTGAGTGGGATTCATTCACAGGTAGGGTGGACCTACACGCCTGAATTTACCTGGACCTAACAGGTATCAACCAATCACCTTTTCCCATTTGAAAATGACCATATAAAATGCGTGAGTACACATCAGTTCTTTGACCTTTTGTCCTTAGTGTCGTGTCCGGTTCAAGATGATTTACATGTATCTTGTACCATTGGCTTTATTGGAAGCTTTTACTGAGGGTAATTCTTATTTCTTTTCGCCGAACTTTCCACAACTCAAATAAAGCAGTGACTATTTTTGTTACTCTCTCAAAGCAAGCCCTCTTATATTGGTGTTATGAATTACCTGTTACGCACCGTCGTAAAGAATGATAGCCCAGCGGTTAGGTCATCAAATTCAGCCATGGTGGCCCTGATTTCGAACGGTCCCAGCACCACCCGCATTCCGTATTTCTACATTTTCCCAGACAGCCTTCGTTTGACCGCAGCCTACGTCGTGAATGTTGACTACATATTTGTGTGTTCAATAACTAAAAAAGGAAGTAAAGAAAGACACAAAGACACAAAAATATTCACACAAAATCACCATATGTATTACTACTATTGATAGCAAACACGTTACCTAGCAATTCTTCTTGCAACGGCTTAAATCGCAAATAACACTCTAGGACAAACATTGATTGGTGTAATCTCAAACTTCCCACGATTTAAAAGAACTCTTGAAACTTTCTCAGTCGAAAGGTTTTATTGTTCAAAACGCACCGCCGATGGAATGCAACCTGAATTGGTCCCATTTTCATTAGTTTCTTATCATCCCCGCCCTTCGACAGGAATGAAATTTTCTTTTCATTCATCCATTATTGATTTCCCATGCAACCGATAACCACTGTGAGGGGATACGATCTTTGGTAATATACGCGTTAAGGATCATTTGGCTTTTAACAAAGAAGTGTCATACTGGGTGGATCCCGGATCGCTCGCTTACCATGTGATTAAGGTTTATCCCCTGACTGGAGATGTTATGGTGGCCTATCCTTTATATCCACAATCGTACCTTGTGACAATCCACGTGGGTACCAGAAATGAAAAACACCATTCAACGGTGGAGGTTCATTTGCACGTCGAGTGTTTCACAGGTTCTAAAATGTGGAACAATGCCTTTGGCTGGTGACGAATAAACTTGTCGTTCGAAAATCAGGTGAGAATTTAAGATTGATTTACCAATATGATTCGTGATACGGTTACATTTCATGCTTTGGTACATAAATAAAGTCAAAAGTATGCAATTAATCTTTGGTATGACTCAGTATTAACGCAGTTATACGTGTTGTTTAAGGTTACTTCAAACATTATCAAATCGACAGTAATCGATTCACAGCTGATTGGCATTTCCTTAGAATGCACTTTATCATACAGTTTACTGAATTCAGCCCCACAATTTATATACTAGCGTTTTCGTAACGCAAGGATCATGATCGATACCCTGATAAAATCGGAGATAGTGACCTTTAACACGATAAATCTCACCAGGTATGGATAAAAGTGAATTGCAAATTGGAAGAATAGACAGCTCTTAAACGCTGCTCCAAACTGGCGGGAGCTCTTGCTTAGTGTGCCGTTTTTAGGCCGGAAATTGAATCCTCAGATTTTGGACGCAAGCCTATAACCCAAATGATTACCCGCTAAATGATCGCACTTCTTTATTTTGCCCAGACACTATGTAGTTCACCTTTGCTAGGCTTCTGGGACTAACCTATGACTGATATTTTCAGAGGAGAAATTATTGTCACTTTATCACAATTGGTTATTTTGTCAATAAAATTAGATTAGCATTTGAAATTATTTTGTGTTCAACTTCGAGGTTTTTAATAGCAAAGAACCATTCCTCACTAATATAATAACGATCACAAATTGCATCTGACATTTGTAAAGATGCAGCGAAAAGATCCCGGGTATATTGAGTGGATCTGTGTTTTTGGCTTCTCTGTTCTAATTTGTCAAGGAGAACCTGTGTTTCAAACAACACTTGATTCGAACAAGATCAGCTGAACAAAACTGAACGGAAACTAATTTAGAACTCTGATGATCAGCATCTGGTTGATAGGAACCATGATTTCCAACGACCACAGGGAGCGGCTTTCTATCGAAGAAGTAGACGAATATCGCAAACGGTAATGCCTATAAGATTAGACAAGTAACAACAAATCATTTGTCTAAATAAAATTGCAGAACGGAATCCATACACCCATAGTTTATCACATTATTTTATGGTGGAACATCCGAAGAATACAAACCAACGTTAGTAAAAGTTTCGCATCACATATAATGTCACAGAAGGGATCAAGTTGGACAACATGAGGGTGGAGCCTTTTGGTATGGGTATGAAATGCCCCAGCGTCACAATTAATGGCAGGCGAGTGATAAAACATTTTATTTACAATGCACGACTTCTGTAATATAGATCCGTATATATATATATATATATTATACATTGTTATATAAGTAAATAACGCATAACTTACAAAACGTTTATAACGAATCTAGTTGTATTGATGATTTATAACAACAACTCGAGACTGTAACTTCTTGTTCATTTATGCAGGTATTCAGTACCCAATTCGGTTGAAAAATACATAGACATTGGTTTTTTGTTAGACAGCATATTCGAACAGTTGGGTATGTCCAGTTTGAGGAACTACTTGCTGCATCATGGATTTTCGCTAAATGTTTTCTTATTTTAGTGTTCTTATATTATTATCGCATGATATACTTATAAACAGAAATGCTCGTGTTCCGTTCCCTTTTGAACGGAGAGAAGACAACCCCTCTCATTTGACTTATTGGCCTTCAAACTGCAGCAAGCAGACCAGGCTGCAGCCTTCAAACAAACTTTGATTAGCTGAACCGCTCTTTTTATCACACTTTTCTCTACTAGTTCAATTTCCTGCGAGACACCTGACAGTCTGGTGTTGTGTATAGAGTAAACGGGTCTCTTTGACACGTAATTCCTTTGAGTAATCCGGTAATGATTATACTGGTGGAATCAGGTAGTTTGACTGGGTCAGAAGTACACTGGCCAACCCAGATGCGATGGACACTTGCTTTTCCACACCCACAGTGCGGGCACGATTTGGACTAGTCCAAGAGTTCCACTTAACCCGGTCACACTGACGTCGGAACATTCGTTTTCCGATATGAACTTGAATACAGATTAGAACAGCATAATGTTGCATGATTTATTTCAAGGAAACGTTCAACATATCTCTTCAGAATTCCATTATATTAGGAAAATATAATGAAAAACTAACGCGTTAGAGTTACCGTGAATTAGCTGTTCGTGTTACAGTTGTCCACCTATCTAAAAATATGGACTGGGATGAAAATCAGTCCCTTTTGCTTGAACATTTCGGGGTCACACAGTTTATTGGCGATTGCCCGTGCAAACTGGGGCAACCGAGGGGTTTAGGTAAAGACATTATCTCTGAATATCGCGGTCACATTCACATGATTTCTGGTATCTAATATATGATAAGCTATCAATGAAGCTAGCATGTGACGTTGGGGTTACCTCTGTCCTTGCTCGTTTGGACCTGATAAAGTCGCTAGTTGATTCACCCAGAGAACAAAATGTTAACTTACGTTTTATCTAACCTGCCTCTCGATTGTGGTCAGGGACAAGACTGAGCACTCACAGACGAATTGGAATAGTTAATGAGATATGATAGATAACCAAAGCGGCTGCTTGACTAAGGAAGCCCGTTTCTGCCGCTTGTATAGAAAAACTGATTTCCCAAAGAGCATTCACTTTGTCACTTTGAAATAAAATTTTTGACTATAGTATACACTTGAAACGATATGATGGATTTTTCCATAAATAAATTGTACAGCACTGCGCTGTTATGTTCTCTGTTCAAGTACCTCATTTTCGATTGATCTACCTGTAGAGAGGTGTTCCGCAATGCACAAAAATATTATTATACGATATAGGATAAATGTAAAATGAACCAGCGTCCACCATAACGTTTCCCCGGCGATGTTTTCTGCATGAAAAGACGAAGTCTAAAACCAACTATATAAACGAAATGTCTCAGTCAGCCGATACAGAAGTAGCAATGGGACATAAAGACAGATGTGGTGAAAAGAAGTCTGGTGAATTTCTCCTGATTTTGGAGTCAATCTTAACCGTTGTTACATTTTCTTCCATTTCAGAGGCAACTTGACAGAACCGTTTCAACCGACTTTACATACAGTCAGGTGTCTTTCTTTCTGTTGAACATATCGCAGGTCTAAATATCAGTTAGTGGAACAGTTTCGCTCGACAACTCCGTATCACATGTCGAATGTGTCAGGACCAGTGATCACGAAGGTCTCCACCGATCCAGAGACAGAAAGCTGCAAGCTCCCACCATAAATGAAATTTATCTAGCAAGACAAAACCGGACAACCAATAATGTAAGCACAAGTTTCTACTGGACTGCTCTTGACATCAATGCATGTGATTATATTAAGGTGTTCAGTTCAAAGTTTTGCAAATGATAGTGAACGATTTTGATGTGCATACAGCCCTTTCTATCGAAACTCTTATCAAATGGATATTTACTAATATTCTTACAAATTTTGTCTTGCGTTTTCCGGTAACTTTGAAATGTGAAGATAGCAGCGCATACATTGAGGCTTTTGATACCTTTTAGATTTGAAACGTGGTGCAAGCACTGCCGCGTCTGATAAACTGGTGAAAAAGCCCATGGACAGAAGTGTTTTTCACAAAAACTCCACTTTGCTCCTTTTGCTATAATTATCTGACCTTGACTGTTTGACCCCAACACAACACTTTCCCGTTATTTTCTCACAGGAATGTGATTTTACTGGCTTGATAAGGAAACCACCGAAACATTTGTTCGTCTACAACCTGTGTTTTGATTATGACGATGGGTTTATTCTGTGACTTGAAATTATCCTACTCGCCCGCGGTGTTAAAGGAATTAAATCAGTTCCTGAAGTATTCCACCAGATTATTTGAGGCCAACTGTGTATCGGATTTTATTAAAAATTGTTCAAACCACTCTGAATACCCACGAGGTATTGGAAACAATTACGTCGATACCGGATATATCCTAACAGTCGAACTCTTAGACGCCATGCTCTCAACCAATTGGATACTATTAGACCTGTGATTTCCACGCTCGAACTATCTGTTTCTCACCATCAATCATCTGTGGATTACCTGAATGACAGATATAAAGTGATGTTCATGGATTACGTTAAGTTGATAACCGAGCGCCGCTACGGAGATAAAATGTTGTCCTTGAATCGACCATTGAGCCCCTTCACACCTGAAGCCCAATTTCCAAACAGACCGGAGCGGTACGTTCACAATTTTTCCAGTGTTGAAATAAGCCGCATTGCGATCGAAGCATTGTCTCTCGGTGCCAAAGTTTGTTGTCCTAGTCGCAAAGTTAGTCAAACGGAACTGGAACTACCATTCGAAGTCCTGGCTGGGCTTACGAATGATNATTCAAATCATCGTTAGTCACAGCTTGCTATCAATTTCGGCGTTACCAAGCTCGCAATCAAGACCCTCTTACACGGAAGTATCTTGATGCACTTAGAGAACTACGAAGAGACCCACGAATTCTTCTGAATACACCCGATAAAGGAGCTGGCATTGTCATAATGGATCGTGAAGTATACATCTCTAAAATAGTTGCCTCATTGCAGGATGAATTAAAATTCAGTCGAGACACATCGCAGAGCGACCAAACCGGGAAAACCGAAAGAGAAATCATAGGAACACTAAAAAGGCTCAGAGATCAAGTAAATATATCAACGAACCTTTTTGGAAGACTCAAACCCGTAGGTTCCAACATACCTCGGTTATACGGTTTAACAAAAATCCACAAACCTGGTTTACCTCTTCGTCCCATACTGTCCATGACAAACTCAGCTTATCACGCTACCGCCCAATGGCTAGTAGAAGTCCTAAAACCAGTACATAAGAAAATTTCAAAACACAATACGAGACACCTTCGCGTTTGTGGATGCTATAAAGGATGTAAACTTAGCAGGAAAACAAATGTTCTCTCTTGATGTTGTGTCCCTGTTTACCAACGTACCTCTACTCGAGACAGTAGACTTCATGTGCGAATTTATTACGCATGAGGACATACCCGTGGGTATACCAGTTGACAGTCTCAAAGATTTGATCCTCAGATGCACGTTCAACGTGCAATTCTTGTTTGGTAATACCTACTATCGCCAAAAAAGATGGAGTCGCAATGGGGTCACCCTTAGGGCCAGTCCGTGCAGATACTTTTATGACAAAATTAGAATCCGGTCCTCTGGACACAGTTATCAATCATTTTGATCACTACTACAGATACGTGGACGATATTTTATGTGTTTCCAATGACAATTTGGACCTCAACGATGTGTGGTTGAACTTCAGTATGGCACACTCAGGGATACGCTTTACAGTTGAGAAAGAAGAAAATAATGAATTGCCATTCCTGGATGTTAACTTTACGAGACGTTTAGATGGGTCCATTCAGCGGATGGTGCATCAAAAAGCCACATGGAACGGACAGTACACAAACTTCCATAGTTTTGTACCGCTCGCTTACAAACGTAACTTAGTGCGCTGTCTTCTATTCAGAGCAAGATACATCTGCTCAGAAGACACTTTAGAAACAGAATTAGCAGTTGTGCGAAGGACGCTGTCAGAAAATGGCTACCCGGAAATGTTCGTCAATCGCAACTGGTCTAAAACAATAAAACAGGTTGATACAGATAGAGCTGAGAAAAAGACTTTGATCATCAAACTTCCGTTCAAAGGAGATCCAGCAGCTGAAAAGGTTAGTAGAGTCCTGAGTGCCGTGGTCAAAACAACGTTCAATGCTGCCAAACTCACATGCGTGTTCTCAACATCACCCATCATCCGATGTCAGAACAAGGGTAATTTGCCTATGTTGACCTCGTCAATGCTCAGCTACCAATTCAAGTGCACCTGTGCTGCCACTTATGTTGGTCGTACGACAAGGCAGCTATCTAAGCGCATCAAGGAACATCAACTTACTTGGCTTAGACACGGAGGAATCGGAGTTATTGCCAGTTCCATTGTGGCGCACCTGGTCGAAACTGGACATAGGGTGGATACTAATTCTTCTTTCACCATCATCTATGGCGTCCCACAACACCACACCAAGGCTTTTCGAATTAAAACGCTCACAACAGCCGAGGCAATTATCATCCGCTTGTTGAAGCCAGAATTGTGTGCTCAAAAGACACTTATTCAGGCACTCAAACTTCCGTGGCCCAAAGCGGACAACATCACGTATGAGCGTTGCGATGACCCTCTCTCTCTTTCTCTTTGAAAATTTTGATGCCGAAGAAATAAATACTATCATTCTCTTATTTCCACACAAACCAATGCACATAATTAGTTTTTCATCGAGACCTCATGCCATAAAATGCATTTTTAGAAAGGGATCAACGAAGTTAATCAAAACATCAAGTAAGGACATGGGCAAATAACACCGATTATATGATATGCGCGCACGATTGCTTGATGGGCTGAGAGTTTTGCAAAACTGAAGCTATTGTTCGAATAGAGTTGATATCCCTGCGCGGAGAAAGCAAATTTGATATTTCATGCTTTGAATAAGAGCTCGCTATTATCGATTGAGATAAACAGAAAAAATAATTAGAAATAATCAATTTATGTTGGTCACACGGTCACTTTCATGCGGCGTTTCATGAACAAATTTTTATTGCTATTGTTTTTTATTAGCATATTTTCGTTCATAGGATAAGTTATTGAGCGTTGCACCTGTCAATATTTACAAACAGTTGGTTTGGTTAAATCATTACAAGTCTCGCGGCCCTTATGGAGTCTCACCCGATGTTCTGGAAGAACGTACTGCCTTTCTTTCCCTCTGTACTGAGGACACTTTTCAACAGTTGTATTCCGCAGCGACGTGTACCCGACTATTGGAGAATAGCCTGTATCGCCCCAGTACCGAAGAAAGGATCCTCAAATTCCATGCCACTGCCTGCACCGCAGTTGTTTTGAAGGTGCTTGAGAGACCCCTAATTAAGACCCTGTTCACACAGTTCAATGTTGCTGACCCGAACCAGTTTGCATACACCCATTCCCACGGTACCCTGGATGCTCTTGCTTACCTGTATTGACGGAATTTTTCTCTTTTTGAAGGAGCAAACCTTTGATGAGTTATCAAATACCAGCTTTCCTCAATCTATCCTCAGTGACCACATGGAACAAAAACCGTCTGCCAAATAGCTTGGCGTTATTTTTCGCCATAACCTCACCTGATCCGACCATGGTAATGATGTTATTCGAATGTTGGGAAATTTAAATTTTATATTTTATCTCTTACATCACTTTCTAGACAAAACCACCTCATAATGTGTTTTCTTGCTTGCGTTTTTCTCTATTGCCTTTATGGGTCCTTTGTCATCCTCGCGGTTCTTTATCAATGACCTCAAACTCTCCTCCCGATCCAACAGGTTGCTGTCGATTTGTCGTCTCATACTAAGGGAACGTCTGGTACAGCATGAGGTGACACACAACCTGAAGTCATGTAAAAACATTCTCTAATAAGATTTCTTCTGATATTTCCCATCCCCTTTGCTCTGCACTCAGCCAACGTCTTTCCCACTGATCCACCCGTTCCATTCATAAACTTATAAGGACACGCACTGAAGCTCACAGGCGCTCTATTTTACCGCCAGATTTCTAACAAACCATAAAATCGTTTCAGGAAATTAGCGCAAAATTTAAAATAAACCATTCATAAACACCCGATATACCATTAACTTTATGAGTTTGCTGTCCGTTTTCACGTCTTTTATTGGTGTACTATGATACTTTTTTCACTTTTTGTTGACATTGCCGTTATATGGTTGTTGAATATCCAACGTTCGAGGTGTCTAAAGCGATTCCCTGACTTGATGTGAAATTATTCCCGTTTGAGTAGTCATGAGAACACAAAATAGCAAACAAGCTCTTTTTCGGTGCAGCACAATTTATAACAGATTAAAACAAGTGGGGAGAGGAGGCAAATATCTGCGTGGGCAATCAGAGTTTAAGGAGAGATGATGGACTTGTGATAATCGATGTTCGTGAGTGTGCATCTGTGTGTGTGTGCGTGCGTGGATAGTGAGGGACAGAGAGTGGTTGTGAATGGGTAGGCAGATGAATGAGTGGTTGAGGATAAACACAGGTTACGTCACCAGATTATCAGTGCATGGCCATACTAAGACCAATGTTCCTACAAACTGTTTCTTGGCGCACAAGGGGGGCGTGTTGACAAAATTCTGAACCTGACTTTGAACGTGTAGAGAGGACAGAAGGCCTCAAGCACATTGACTGTGTGATTAGACTCAGTCAAATGTTTCATAGTTTCTGTCGCTCCGGTCTTTATCAATTCCCGGTTCAACCAAACGGGGTGATGCTCCTTGAGGAGATAAAAAAAACGCCTCACCGTACAACCCACATAACTTGCCCCACGGGACGAATTCAATCTTGCATCAAATTCACCTAATTTCCGGCTGAACCCCGAATTATATGTATGTCCAAACCGGTCCTCTTTATGTAGACCTCATTTTGTGCTTATCGATTGACCTGTTCCTATAGTTGATAGTCCGCCTTATGAATACCAATGGCGTCCGGAGCAAATGTAACTGACTCAATGTACTCCAGGATGTTAAAAATGCACGCCGAACAGCCTGCAACATCGAAGACTGAACTGTTCCACATGCGTGTGACCTCTGAAACTTTCTCCAATTGCGCACGGTTAAACGTTTGTGAAACAGTCTGGGTCAATCGAATGATCAAATTATTATTGGACTCGCGGTCCGCTTAAGCTTGTTGACAACATTCAACTTCCGGTTGCTGATGTGGTTGCATTTGTTGTGCCATTTTTACCTTTATTTGTTAATACAGGTGCTGAGAATTTTCGCTTTAGTTTTCTGTTCCCTCTGTTAATTTTATCGTTTTCACACTCCCCTCCGGCCTATTTCTGAGTGTGGCTTCGAATAAGATAAGCTAATTCTGCTTCCAGGCTACTTCACTTACAGCACGCAAATTACCTCATGTAATCATAACTTCGAAGTTGATGTGGTTCAGAAGACTTCTGTTCTTTTTTGATAGAGAAAATTCCCATTTGTGATTTCATTGTATGCAAGTTTGCTAACACCTCGGAGCTTCAGAAGCAACGATATGTGTTGCCACTTTTATAAACGACGTTTTAAATTAGTTTCCACACCAATCCTCCAGGCCTAAGCTTTCAAAGTATGTAGCTGTTCTCTTTCATTTAAAAGCCGACTTTCTTTATTCTACCATTGTTACGACAGTCACATCGCTCCCGAAGTTGTATTTGTTGAATACCTAGGTATAAGTCCGTCAAACAATCTGCGTTGAAAATTCCACGTGAACATTGTTTCTAAGCTGTTTCCAGGTTTTCAGGCTTATTACACAAATACGATTTTAATATTTGTGGTCTCATATGCCAATCCTTATTGAGTGCAATTTTCCCAATCCAATTTTATTCTCCAAACTCATCAAATGTATCTAACTACATACTAGTGTAGACAGAAATGTGCTGATTGATTTGATTGTGTGTACACAGAGTGGTGCATGTGATAGGGTTGTGAGTAGAATCTGCAGTACTGCGGATCACCGGATGCACAAAGAGCTCCGTAAATTTGTTTCAAACTTCTGTACCAGCTCCCATTCTAAGCCACTTAATACATATACTACCACATACGGAAAAAAAGTATCCTCTCATATCTTACTGTGTTTCTGTACATCCGAAACCGATCATTACCAGTCAACCAATGTGATACCGTTTTTTCTCAATGATTTTTGCATTCTATTTCCTGCCTCAACTTTCTCTCCGGAAAAACGCTTAAGACATTCGCTGCTTACGAACGTAAAGCTATGTCCAGTTCTGCAATCACTTGAACTCATGTTCTCCCATGTACTCCATACTTATTTCGTCTATTTATTCTATCCATGCAGTGACAGTTCAGTTCAAAGTGAATATTGAGCAAACCTAACAATCTCAGCTCGAATGTCAATCAGTCAAACTGGTATTGTATCGGAATCCGTGGGTGAGAAATATCAGCATCCTAGAGTTTGGTAACTATCCAGTAGTAGCTATTCAACACCCGGACGGTCGATATTTCTGTACGTCACTAAACGAATGTCGCGTTGAATTTATTCGGTTTGATGCACATTTCTTAGAAAGGTATCCCACGTGTTACATTTGCACTGATCAATCTCGGTTGGGCTAAAGCACAGATCGTCTTACACCTACCAATGAGACTAGAAGCTTATAATCAGAAAATCAATTGAAAACGAAAAATAGCATCTAACTGATTTAATATACTGAACAGTAATCTCCTAAAGTGAGACAAGGAACTACCTGAACCATGCAGTCCAGATTTACCGTTGTTTGGTCGCAGAGGCGAGAAACAGGATGAAACGATACTTTAGAGTAGGCTAGGTTTATGTTGCCACGAAGTAAGATCTATTTTCAGCTTTGACTCTCAGCGGAAAGAGGTTGTTAGATACACTGATAAAAAAGAGGCAAACAACACTTTTGAGCTTCATGAAAACCGATCTGTATACAAAGGAACAACGGTAGACTGCAACAGCTTGTACGAGGTTGACGTCCCCGAGACATTAAATTGATAACACCAACAAAATTACATGAAAAGTCAAACTGGTAGTCTCAGAATGCAGGTTCTATAAAATAATCATCAATACTCATACAAACTCCGGTGTACGATTCCTGGTTGGTCATCGTGCACCCTGAATTAGCTGACCGCCAGCCAGCTTTGTTAGCTGAACCAAACATCCGTCAACGCCTATGGCGTGCGTTTACTAACTTTGAACATCGATTGGTCCTTGTTTATCCAGGATGCTGAGGGGTCTTGGCCTCCCAAAATCTGTAATAGACATTTGTTCCCCCCAGCAATTCAACTTCATGGTTGATTCTATAGGATGACTAAACTGTGAGACCGTCGGTGCACTCACAAGTACCTCATCGCTTGGTCTGCCTATTTGAGTGGT